GTCAAATCTTTGTATTATTCAGTTATTTTGATTGTTGAAGTGTAATTCAAACTCTTTTTCATCTTTATGAATTTGAACGAAGCACTGTATATAGAGGCGTACAAATGCACGACAAATAAACAAACAAAACACAAAGTCACATGATTGAGTTCACTAATAGCTGCTGTCTTTCGGCTGGTCTTCTCTTTGTCTTAACAATAAGTTCTGTCCATACTTGGTCTTCGCGTGTTGTTCATACTGACAGGCACATGTACCACAAAGGACAAAGACATTTATTACAGACCCCAACCTTTTTTTTGTTTTGTTTTTGTTTCTCTCCACCCCGGCCCCCTTGTTTAAACAATACTAAATAGCTTTGTTTTTCATAAATAGTTTTTTTTTACACAAATCAGATAAATCTGAACAAAACAAAAAACAAGGTTACAAAGACAGTTTGTGTGGAAACACAAACTTAAAATCGGCCCCCGAAGTGGTCCACCCAGGCAGGCTTCAATATTTTCAGAAAGAACATCCAAATGAAATTATATCAAAGACAAATGAGAGATAAAAATGAAGAAAGAAGGTTGACAGATCTTGTGTAGTGCCCCAATGGTGCTGCAGATCAAAGGATAGGTGCAAGTGAATGCAAAGTTAGATGTGAACCTGGCCTAATTAGTTCCCCTTTCAGACCTTGTGGTCTATATGGCAGATGATGTAAGGTTCATCTGTTTTTGTGGCCTACGGTTAACGAGGGTGTCATGTAGCCAGCACAACGACCAACCGCCTTTACTTTTCCCCAACTAATGTCAAGTACCCATTAGAGCTGGGTAGACTCAGCGGCGCCCAAGGATTCCGAAGTTGAAAATCCCAGTCTTCACCAGGATTCGAACCCGGGACCCTCGGTTCGGAAGCTAAGCGCTTAATCGTGCCTCTCCTGGTCTTTACATAATGTAACTGTTTTGAAAAGACTAATCTGTTATTCGAATTCCAATCTCTTTTATGTAAATATTAATGGTTAAGAAAATGAAGTTTATAAGATTACAATTCGTTTTAAATTAGGTCTAACTTATAATGCATACTAATTAGCTTTTTCTCTTTAAAAAACTGCTTGCATAACTGATTTTAAAAATTAGATTTTTCGCTTTCAGGAAAAAAAAAAGTAGCCGTTGCATCAGAACTTTGAATGGTCTAAAATATTGTCATGTCGGATTTTCAATATCTTTTCTAGTTTACGAGATCTAAACGGGACGGACGGACAGACATTTCACACAAAACTAATAGCGTCTTTTCCCCTTTCGGGGGCCGCTAAAAAACTAAATAAATAAGCCAACATAACAAAAGCATTAACTAACAAAATACAAAGCTTTGGACGTTTTCCGGATTTTCCCGAATGTTTCTCGTGTGTGTGTGCGACGTCTATAGCAGAGGGAGACATGGGGAGTTGTAGTTTACAGTCACGTGCACAGACCTGCGCGCATTATCGAAAAGAAATTATTGACAGGGGGAGACAAAACTGTAAAGTGAGTGTCAATATAGGTCACGTGACGTGGGCGTAGTTAGAAAAACGACACAAGAAAGAATAGTATAACTCAGTGTTTCCCAAACTTTTTTCTTAATGGAACACTTCGAACATTTGGAGTAGGCTATTTAGCGGAACACTTTGCTTATTTTTTGAGAGAGTTTAGTTCACGTGGTGGCCAAAGTATTTCTTTGTGAAGTTGGAACAAGAACAAAAATCTAGTGCCACTCCCCAGAGGTTCAGTGATGTGGAGACGCCGCTGCTGAAGTATTGAGTGCAAAAAGAAAACCGTCAGAGGTCGATGAACTTTTACGGTTGAACGGATATTACTCACAAAACTGCCATTTTAAGTTCTAGTCTGGTGTCAACAATGGGAGAAAAAAAAAAAAAATCTACGCCTGAGAGGGCGCTGTTCAATTAGATCGCGATTTTAAAAAAAATGAAAGAAGGAAAAATAATAATTAAAACTCTTGTTATATATAGGCCCTGTATAGTCCAGGATTAGATCATTTTGTGACTTTCAGTCAACGTGAGAACATTGAACAGTGTTTGAAAGGTTGGAGAATAAAAAAAAAAAAAAAAGGTCTAAAGCAGATATTGATCCAGTAATTAGCATTAATTTGATTTAAAATCTAAATTGTGCTCTTTTTTTATTTAAACAGAAGCAATGACGCACAAAAAAAGAGGGGAGGGGGGAAGCTCTGAAGATTCGAATAGCATGAGCGTCTTTCACGACACACACACACAAACTTCGTTTGTATGTTTGGTTTTCCTCACTTTGTGCCAATGTTCCTAAAGGCAGCCACAAGTCTCCCAGCGTTGTGGAGGTGCATGAACAGAGCGCAGTCAGAACACAAACGTGAGTCGTTTGTTGTTCACCTTTGAGGCTCAACTATTTCAGCGTCTTGTGTTTTCTAAAACCAACCCTCAACAGATTGAAAGTAACAACGTAAAGATGAAACGTGTTTAAAGAATGAAGGACATTGCAGGACATCTTCAGGACTCGGGAAAGACCTAAGAAAATGATTGTCAATCAGCGAGACGTTATGTTTTCAAGACTTCATTGGATTTCGTTTTCCATTAACGACTCAGAAAAGGGGCGCCCTAAGACTCACGATTTAAAAACAAAAAGATCACGATCTTAACACAATGATTTAAAAAGATAACTTGAAAAGGAGAAGAAACTGCTTTCTCTGATAAAAATGTTTAAAAAGGTTTTTTAAAAAATTAAATAAAGGTAACATTGATAATGATTGCACCTTCTTTTTTTTTTTTTTAAATAAATGACTCTGTCAAGGCCTAGAGTAGACGATTGGGAAAGAAAAGTATTATTGATTTACAATGTGTGACAGTGTCATAAAGAGCAATGCAGACATTAGACGATCTAGAATGTGTGACAGTGTCATAAAGAGCATTGCAGACATTAGACGATCTAGAATGTGTGACAGTGTCATAAAGAGCATTGCAGACATTAGACGATCTAGAAAGAAAAAAACACTTTTATTGCGTCAATAAATCTCAAGCCCCGCCAAGTTTTGTTAAAAGAGTTATTAGAGTTCTGCTGTGACCGAGCAGACGTCAACCAAGTGTGTAGTGGGAGAGACAAAAGTTGTCACCAAAAGTCCAGACGTCACAAGCGTTATGCCACCTTCAATCAGACCTGCTTCACTTTTCATTTGGAAGATGAACTCAGCTTGACCTCTTGAATAATGACTACAAGAGTTCTCAAGCTGTACGTAGCGGCGCACGAAATAGGCCGATGTCTTGCCCTGTTTTGGTTAATTAGTTAATTATAACAATATTTTAACCCATTTCTGTCTGTCTGTCTCTCTCTTTTTCGGTCTCTTCTCTCACTATGTCTCTTGATTCTCTAGTTTCTCTCTCACTCTACTAGTTAAGGTTTCTCTTATAAGGTTCGTATCCCTTAAAAAAAACAACAACTAGGCTTTAAGAAATCGCATGCACTACGACTGTGATGTTTGACCTACGCACGCGGGCCATATCCTTATGAACATGAAGGCTCTCTTCTATTGAACGATAATTTGCCCATGAATAGCGTGTCTGAAAAAGGCAAGTCCCCAAACTAATAAAGGCTGGACACCACTGCAATAGGTCACACCACTGCAATAGATCATGGAGACAATGAAATGCTGTACTAAAAGCACGTGACCCAACATAGGGCATTGTTACAATTTTATGAACCAGCAAAATAATACCGTAATATCGATATTAAAAAAAAAATTAAAAGCCTGAATAAGGAAAAGAAGCACCGAATTACTGCTATATCTATCAATACTGCAAGATTTATCTCCATTTACTATATAAATTAAAACTTAATACATTTCCACTAATCAATTAACCAATTGCTTTTTTTAAATTGATTCATGAATTGTCTTCGACAATCAATAATTGTGCAAAATTTCAACTTGATCCGAGAATGAGAAGTGGGAGAAATAACGTGTACAAGATTTTGACCAGACCGACAGTCAGAGTGAGTTGGTATGAGCTTTTGTAAAAACTAAATCTACCGTAGACTAGCAAAAATAACGTAGTAGATCTAGACTCTAGTTTTCGTTGGTAGGTCTAATAGATGTGATGCTAGGCTAGTAACACCGAGACTCGCTCAAGTCCTAATATCTGTGATGCTGGGTACGTAACATTGACTCGTGCTATCTCGACTGTTAATAAGCCACGTCAATCAAACGAGATTAGCCGAGAGCTGACTACAACATAAGTCGTACGCTACGCCCAGCACGAGATAGTGAGACCAGAAATAAACAGACGACAACTGGTGGAGATTAAAAAAACAAGTTGATCAATGGAGAGGAGGTGGTGGTGGGGGTTTTCTTAAATAGACAAATCTTTTTTTTTTCCATTCCTATAATAAGCTTACACCATGGAGTATAGTTCCATGCTTACACCATGGAGTATAGGTCCATGCTTACACCATGGAGTATAGTTCCATGCTTACACCATGCAGTATAGTTCCATGCTTACACCATGGAGTATAGTTCCATGCTTACACCATGGCTTACACTCTACGTGCGTGGAAGGAGAAGTTGGTTAAAACTTGAATGGACAATTGCGCAGCGGGATGTGAATGTGGAATGGTGTGAATGCGTGTTAAAAAAAATAGGATCACAGACCTATGTAAATTATGCCTTGACTGGACGCACGTAAGAATGTCGTGAAAAACTTCAGAAAGCTGAAACAAGGTGTTGTTTTGTAAACTAGTTATAAGAAGTAACGTGTTTTTTCAAACCTAAACTATGTAACATATAATACTAATAATCATCATAATGTTTACTCCGAGTAATTTAAAATTGGAAATACAAACACACTCGTCTCAGAATTATTATTTAACAATTTTTAGATCCAGAATCTAGACCACACAAACTTTAAATCGGCCCCGAAGTGGTCCACCTAGAGACAGGCGGACAGATCTAGACATTGGTAGAGGATAGAGCATATTAGGCTGTAAAAAAACATACTTTAAAAAAATAAATTCAACTGGGTTTCGAACTCAGAAACTTCTGCGTGTTGGGCAGATGTGACAACCACTACACTACGGAAATACAGTTTTAAATTTACAATATATTTGAAAATCTTTCCTTATATTTTTAGTTTGATAAAAGCTGTGAGTCTCGGAGTCTCAAGATTTAAAGCAAGAAGAGTGGCCAGGGCGAAAGAGCGCCGAATCAACAAAAAGCTGAGAGAAGAAGCAGGTCTATCTGCAACTGACATAACCCACCCATGCCACATATGCGGCCGGCTTTTTAAAGCGAGGATTGGACTTTACAGCCATCTTTGAGTCCATAGGAAATGAGAAATGTGCTCATATTCGACCAAGAAGGAGGAGCTATATATGTCTATGTTCAAGAAGATAGGCCTACTTAAAGTGAAAACAATTAAGTAAAGTATTCGTTTCAGACCTACCGATCGATGGGGGTAGATAATGTAAAGGTAATCTCTTTTAGTGGCGTAGGTGTCATTTGGCCAGCACAACGACCGACTGCCTTTTCATTTCCCCCAACTAATATCTCGGGTAGCCAATAGAATTGTGTGGACTCGGGGTCGCCCTAAACATGTTCGAACTTCAGAATCCCAGTCTTTACCCCTCGGTTCACTTGACCACTCAACACAACGACACACCCCCTCCTCCCCATACACTACGAAGTGTGTGTTTCTGCATGTCATACAACTCATCGGGGCGATTGTTCAAAGTGAAACATCATGGCGGCACTCTGTAATATTAATGACAACCCCAACCTGCGTGCGTCATTTACTAGTTCCCAAGTGACAAGCCTGACCAATATACCGGCGGGGTGGGGGGGGGGGTCCCCCTCTGAGTGTGTGTGTGTGTGTATATATGGGTGGGGTCTAGTAGTTACAAACACGAAACAAAATTCATTTTTTTCATAATGCTATTCTATTTGGTCGAAAGAATATTCTGACGATCAATCCATTTCGTATAAATATGTAAACCAAGTCAAAACCCAAGCATCTGTCTAGCAAATTAGTATTTTTGTACTAGGGGAAACAAAACAAGATGTGATTGACTTGTTCTTACACTTTCACACAATACAACACACACATTCGCACCACAGCAAGCACTTGCATTGACAAGAACAGCGTTTCTTCTCCTTGAGTCAGAGAAGGTCAATCAGCAGTGTTTCTCCTCCTGGAATCAGAGAAGGTCTATCAGCATTGTTTCTCCTTCTGGAGTCAAAGAAGGTCTATCAGCAGTGTTTATCCTCCTGGAGTCAGAGAAGGTCTATCAGCAGTGTTTCTCCTCCTGGAATCAGAGAAGTTCTATCAGCAGTGTTTATCCTCCTGGAGTCAGAGAAGTTCTATCAGCAGTGTTTCTCCTCCTGGAATCAGAGAAGGTCTATCAGCATTGTTTCTCCTTCTGGATTCAAAGAAGGTCTATCAGCAGTGTTTATCCTCCTGGAGTCAGAGAAGGTCTATCAGCAGTGTTTCTCCTCCTGGAGTCAGAGAAGGTCTATCAGCAGTGTTTCTCCTCCTGGAATCAGAGAAGGTCTATCAGCAGTGTTTCCCAACAAGGAGTCATAGAAGGTCTGTCAGCAGTGTTGCTCAACCAGGTGGCTTTTGTCATTAGTGCAAGGAATGGGCTGCTTGAATCAGCCAGGAAAACCAATGACATAGTAGAGTTTAAATCTCTAATTAACATTCACGACTAGATAAACGCTTGGATACGATTAGAAGATAATTATCTTCTGTTTTGAAAAAGCGTCTTTAATTTATAAGATAAGAGATGTCCTTTAGGCAGTGCTGCTCATCCTGGGGTCAGAGAACGTATGGCTAGGGTACTTCTTATACAACATTAGCGCAGTCTAGAGCAGAGAAAAAAACAACAAGAAAATAGATTTTTATTGTATGCAAACACACAAACGATAGTGACATAGGTTACTAATAGTCCTCTCACACAGTCACGTGATGAGCGGCACGTGATGTTGTTGGAAGTAGCACGAGACATGAAACAAGTGTTTTGTTTTGTTTTAAGCCATTCTCCTTTTGAACAATCAAACAAACTTATATAATTTATTTTTTGACACTCCAATTTAGTTTTTTTTTTTTTTTAAAAAGGGGGGGGGGGGGTAATGTAGACATTTATTTTCGTACCATGCACACCTGTACATGTCACACCATTAAGTATAACCCTAGTCTGAGGTCTCTTGGGCTGTGTTTGCTAACACTAGTGTCTTGTCTAGTCCACAAACGGCTAACTTTCCGAAAGGTGGTCACTAACTTGTTGCATGTTGTTTTCTGACCTCAAAAGGTTGAGCAATGCTGGTTTATACCAGAATGTTGACCACAAAATAAAGTTTCTTTCTTTTAAAACGCTACCCCATGAGTACCTTAGAAAACACAATCTTGTATAATCATTGACACTAAAACTTTAAGTGTGATGTTGACACTTTAAAACGCACTGATGAATGGCTGGAATTCAAACGCAGCGCAAAAAGGGGGGGGGGGGGCAATCAATACCTTTCCGCCAATTTTACATATACAGACCGGTCGGTATTGGCCAACTTTGTAACAGCCGGCTCGCACTCGTTCTAAATCGCTGGGCCAGGCAGATAACTCTTGTCTTTATTTTTCGATGCAAACTCAGATGAAACCTTATATTTTATGACTCTGCGAAGGACAGCTTATTTAGACCACACATATTGTCATATGTTACTCACTGTCCGTGCTCGTCCAATATTGGCCTCACCTGAGATCTTCTTTCACTTGGACACTGTGCTGTTGACGTGTGCTGGGTCACTTAGCTGTGATTGCACATCCCGTGACCAGGGTCAGCAACAACGTGATGTAAACATATTGTTATCAATGAACAGTGAGATGACACTGCAGCGGGTGTTCTATGGAATCGACATGTATAAACAACGACAGGATGTGATGTTTCCTCCCGTGTTGTTCCAGAGGATACTAGAAGTGTTTTTGCAATATTGGACAAGCGATTAGGGACTCTATATAAACCAGAGAGTTAAGGTGAAAAGAGCCAGTACAGTCGTCGTTACTGTTGTCTACTGTGCGAGACAGTAGAAGAGAGTGGACTTGAGCCGTTACAGTCGATACAGTTGATGTAAGACGTATACGCTACATGTTACAGTGATGAATTGTTATAGTTAATATTCAATAAAGTTATATGAAGCTGAAAGTTGAGTCGTCAAGTTCTTTGCAGTGTTTTTTTATTTGTGTGCCTACTAGTACATTTAGCCAGAAGATTCAGAAATACGTAACAATATAATCAACTAGCTCTCAGTTTATTAATCTCTTTTTGAATCTCCAGCTACTTCTGTGATGCAATCAAAAGGCTACTGGTTAGATGCAGACGAGACTCTTAATCATACACCAAAACAGACTCAGCAATAGTAGATTATGAGAACTTTAATCTTGGTTCAACAAATAATAATCTTTCAATAATAACGGCGTTTACATAAATCTTTTCTAATCATCCTATTCTTTTAATACGCATTCGCACCATTCCACATTCACACTACGCTGCGCACGTAACCCTATAGTTATAATGTTACCCATGGGTATAAAAATAGAGCAACGGTTCCTACAAGAAGTATTTGTGGAGTACTCTTGTAATGGTTACATCTATGGACGTTCCCGACAGGTAAACGCTCACAAATTAACGAGAGTCGCATTAAAATATAAGGTGTGATCAGTTAGACAACGTCCTGTATATTAAAAAATGAATTTGAATATTTTCTATTGAAGATTTGTTTCGATATTATCGTTAGTTAAGGACAAGTAGGCCTAACCATGTAAGACTTTGAGTTCCGCTGTTCAAAAGGTGCAGAGCTTCTATCTTTACATCCTCTGTCAGTATGAATTGTTTTGCATGACTAATTAGGCAGGAAATGAATATTAAATCTGAACTGTGAGGTGTTTGGATTTAAAACTTGATCACGTGAGATTAGTGGGCATTCACAAAGACACTGGTGAGATGTTTTGTAAGATACAGGGAAAGGAATGCTTTCAGGTTTCTTGGTGAGAGAAGTTGTTAATGTAAGAGATATAACAGAGACCCACATTGAGGCGATGTTCAAGAGATGTTATTTTAGTCTAGGTGATATCTGAGTGAAGTGATCCTGGTTATTTGTTAATACGATGGTTTACAACACATTTTTTTGTGGGATCATTTTAACATTTTACGCTTAACTTTAATGACTTTAATTTAGATAGGAAGATAATGTGAAGCCCCCAATGAATATATACACATTGAAAACAACAACAGTCTTAACTAAAGCTATGTAGAACATGCTAACCATGTGGTCAAACGTTTGTCTGCCTAACCGAGAGACGGAGTTCAAATCCTAGTGGAAGATGGCATGATGTCTCTTTGAGTACAGCTGAGTGACGGACAAAAAAAGAGGGGGGTGGGGGAATGAAGTGGTCACTGGTCACTCCATTGTAAACATGTGAACTTAGCACCTGTACTGGTCTGTTTCAAAGGGAAATTTAAAAACAACAAAAAAAAGAAACGAGGTTGTGCTTGTGGTGATGTGTGCAGTAACCAAGAGGAACACACAGAAAACAAGTTGACACATACACAAAAGGGAAGCAAGTAGTGATTAACGGAAGGAACTCTCTAGCGCGCTCTCTCTCTCTCTCGCTCTAAAACTTCAATTTTTCATCTAGCTACTTACAATAAAGCTGACAAGTTAGACAGCAGAGGGGGGGGGGGGGGGTAGGATGGTTTGTTTTATTTTAAAGAGCTCCAACCCCTTAATGACCAAATCAAACATTAAAAGTCGAGGTAAAACCAGATGAGCAATTAAAACAATTTTAAAGACAACTGCAGTGATACAGATGGCAAAGACTCGCGTTATCTTAGTAGTGAAACAATAGCCGTGTTGATTCCATTGTCTAGTAAGCTAATAGATGACGTGACCCACGTTGTATATAAGCAGTAAAAACTTGGCAATAGTATATTTAAGGAATATAACTCAGTAAGACCAGATGTTCACTCTTGAAATGCAAACATATAGGCCTAATGCGCGTTGGTCTAGTTATACAAATCCATCACCCCAGTATT